CGGACTTTCTCTGACTTGCTCCAGTCGCAGGATAACTCTCGGTAAAAGTTTTATTTCTGGTTTTATTCCCTTTTATTTTATAGTGAATATCCAATTGTGTGTCTTTTTGTATTTTCCATATTATTTGTAACTCTTTATACTTTGTACATATTTTATGCACTGCCCACTTTTGGGATATTAAATCATAAAATTAATAAGTGGCTTCTGGGTACTTAAGCTTGGGCTCATATCTCCGGAGAGATTGTATTGTATTGCAGTGTCTTTATGGGCATGGTCAAGTTCATTGCCTATCTGTATGCAATTGCACTGCGTGTTGGCAGATTGCATGCAGATTGTAAAGTAGCAGATCTGCCAGACGGAGATCTGTGTGTGTATGTGGTGGCCCAGTAGACCAGTCTGCGGACAAACTGTTGGGTGGTGGCAAGCTACCGTTCGTTGTGTGTCTGGTGTGGGGGGGTGTGGACAGTAGGAAGAGTTATTAACACCGGGGCTCTAGCTTTTAGGATAGCTGGAGGAATCCTAGAAGGGTGTGCCAATTGCTAGACTGCTCCCCAACCCTAATAGTGCACCAGATTGTATGTAAGATTCATATCTGCCTGTGTGTGGTCAGCCAGCTGGATTGAAGTGGAGTCTCCCTCTAGTGGTCGCCAGAGGTAGTGCGGGCTGTGAAAGTGTATCACGGCCAGTCTTATATGCTTAAAGTAAGTCCCCCTCATTCCCTCTTTACCCCAAGTCACGGCCAGACATGCACGCCTCGGTTAGCTAGTCGCTGTGGGCGTATGCGTGGGTTAGGATCCGTGACACCCATAATTTCTGTCATTGAGCCCCATTGTTGGTGTCACTGGGAGAAATTGTGTCCCATTGTTGGTGTCAGTGGGAGGAATTGTGTCTCATTATTGGTGTTCCTTGTCACAGTGGAGAACGAAGAGCGAAGTGCAGTCAGCAATGTGTTTTTCTAACCTGTCCAATAAACTGTTCGCCCCAAGAGTGGTGAGCTGCAGGTGAATGGTTCATCACAGAGGCGGACTGACAACTCACGGGGCCCCCGGGCAATAGGGGATCATGGGGCCCCTGTGTCCTTGCCCAAACTCAAAAAAGCCTATGAAAAAGGTACTAGGGGCATCTCATGGGTCCCCCTACTGACCCCGGGCCCTCGGGCAGTGCCCGAGTTTCCAAATGGTGAGTTCATCAACAGACACCACCCAATCTGGCCCAAAAAAAAACACCTATCGGTGGACTGTCACCGTCTTAGCACTATCTCGCTCTGCGGCAGCCCTAACTATTTGAAAATGTCATTGGGAATAACGCATTTATAAATCATTGTGTGTCATAAATGTTTGGTGCATTTAGGTGAAAACAGAACACAATAGGATCTGTATCTGCCGTCTCTCTGCATGTCTGGACACGGCCGTCTACTATTAATGGGATTAGGAAGTTGTGTTTGGCAGATTCCGGGTGTCGGCGCACAGATCCCCGGATGATGTCTGTAAATCTCTTTAATCTGATTAGTTCTGGCCTGTGAGGTCTGTAGCAGCTGTAAATGGACATCTGCTTCTCCGATGGTGAATGAGAATACAAATTCACATAGTCACCAGTGGCCGGAAAGGCCTTGGTCTGCTCTGTGCATTGCCAACTGTCAAGGTGCATCAGGACCGCACAGTGGTTGGGGTTGTTGTTCTGAAATGCTAAGGGTTACATTTATTATTTTTGGAATAAGGCTTCCTACACATGTTCTTATCTTATCTACAGTTGTGCTCAAAAGTTTGCATCCCCTGGCAGAAATTGTGAAAGCTTGGTATTGATATTGAAAATATGACTGATCATGCCAAAAAATGCTCTTTTATTGTAGGATGATGATCATATGAAGCCATTTGTTATCAGATAGTTGTTTGCCTCCTTTTTAAATCATAATGATAACAGAAATCACCCAAATGGCCCAGATCAAAGGTTTCCCTCCCCTGGAATGTTCGGCCTTGGTACAGACACACAAGGTGACACACCTAAAATGCCAATTAGAGGTTAATGTCCCACATCTGTGGCTTTTTAAATTGCAATTAATGTCAGTGTGTGAATAGTCAATGAGTTTGTATTCCGAACAATTCTTCTGGCAGTTGTGGCTGCAATCTTTCTTGGTCTACCTGACCTTGGCTTTGTATCAAGAGGTCCCTGAATTTTCCACTTCTTAATAGGTGATTTAACAGTACTGATTGGCAACATCTTTTTATGTCCTTTTCCATCTTTATAAAGTTCCATTACCTTGTTACGCAGGACTTTTGACAGTTCTTTTCTGATCCCCATGGCTCAGTATCTAGGCTAGTCAGTGCTTCCACATGAGCGCTAACAAACGCATTGATAATTTATACACTGACACTAATTGCAATTTTTAAAAAGCCACAGATGTGGGACATTAACCTCTGATTGGCATTTTAACCCATGTGTGTGTCACCTGGTGTGTCTGTACCTAGCCACACCTTCCACGGGGCGGAGACTTCTGATCCGGGCCATTTGGGTGATTTCTGTTATCATTATGATTTAAAAAGGAGCCAAACAACTATTTGATAATCAATGGCTTCATATGATTATTATTATTATTATACAGTATTTATATAGCGCCAAAAAGGTTTGCTCAGCGCTGTACATTATAGTGGGGGACAGAACATGAGACAATACAGTAACAATACAATACATGAGGGGTTCAAGGGCCCTGCTCCTTGGAGCTTACAATCTAGGAGGGAGGGGATCGTGGTACAGGAGGAGGTGGCTGTGGGGGATGGAGTGGTAGGAGGAGTGGAGGAGATCGAGATAGGCTGTTAGGTGAGGGTGGGGTAGGCTTCCCTGAAGAGATGGGTTCTCAGGGTGCGCCTGAAGGCGAGGAGGGTAGGTGACAGTCTGATGGATTGGGGTAGAGAGTTCCAGAGGATGGGGGAAGACCTGGAGAAGTCCTGTAGTCAGGCGTGGGAGGAGGAGACCAGGGAGCTAGAAAGTAGGAGGTCTTGTGAGGAGCGAAGAGTGCGGGTTGGGTGGTATTTGGGTATCAGGTCGGTGAGGTAGTTTGGGGCAGCGTTATGAATGGCTTTGTATGTCTGTGTTAGTAATTTGAATTTAATGCGTTGGGCAATCGGGAGCCAGTGGAGGGATTGGTGGAGCCCAGTGGAGGGAATGAGGGTGGAGGGTGGCGGATGCGGAGCGGTTGGTGAGGTGGATGAGTCTGGCCGCTGAGTTTAGGATAGACTGAAGCGGGGATAGTCTGTGATGAGGTATGCCGGTGAGGAGGGAGTTACAGTAGTCCAGGCATATGATCATCATCCTTCAATAAAAGAGCATTTTTTGGCATGATCAGTCATATTTTCAATATCAGTGCCAAAATGTCACAATTTCTGCCAGGGGATGCAAACTTTTGAGCACAACTGTACATCATTCTTCAACTTCACACAAAAACTAAGGCTCCATGTACACTGCAGCTGATAAACTGACGTTTAGGAGCTTTTCTGCAATTTTTTCAGCAGCCCCTGAACCCCCCCTAATGTTCTCCTATGTGTCCGTGTACACATTGTCCTTTACAGGCTGTTGAGTTTACAGTCGTTTTTTTTTAATGCACCAAACTTGGGTCCAGGAGTAGATTTTATCAGCGTTTCAAATGCTTGTAAATGTGTGTAAATGCGTTTATAAGCGTTTGGAAATGTTTTTTAACTCTTACATTCCCAGATGCCATCCAGAACCTTTTTTAATCATGAAAAATGCACGCAAAGCGTTTTCTCGGTACTCCAATGGACCCGATACACCGTACTTTGAGGAAATATGTGAGACACTGCTGCAATAATTTCTGCACAGAAATGAGCCAGAACACATCCAAACCAGGGGCGGACTGACCATTTGGAAATTCGAGCACTGCCCAAGGGCTTGAGTTCAGTAGGGGGCCCCATGAGAAGCCCCTGGTACCTTTTTCATAGGCTTTTTTGAGTTTAGGCAAGGACACAGGGGCCCCATGATCCCCTATTGCCCGGGGGCCCCATGAGTTGTCAGTCCGCCCCTGATCCCAACACCACAAAAAAAAGAGACAGCTAACCTCAACAAATACTGCTCTCTCTGCTTCTGCTCTCTCTATTTCTCTCAAAATGTCTGAAATAGTTAATTTTTTACTGTTTTTCAGTGCATTTTGGAAGGTCTACTGAGGTTATCTTTAAAAAATGCTTCTAAACGCAAATGCACATAAACGCAGTATGCAAACGTGGCTAAACAGATAATTTTTAACCTACGTTTTTGCAGCAGTCGGTTTCCATCGTTCAGAAGTGTCCCGTGTACATGGGGCCTAAGGAAAGGGACAGTCAGCTAACTTTAGTGTGTGGTAGATGCTGGAAAGGTTTCTTTGGAGGTATGGATGGAGTGGAGAAGGGTTAGGTCACCTTTCTGGTTTATACTGCTATCTGGGCCTCCCGGGCTTTCTGTCCTGGTGACAACAGTTTCACCAGACTGGAGGGAGTTAAAACCTGCAGCAGACAGCAAAAACAATCTGACAGGAGTTCTAGCCTTCCTATTCATTGCTAAAACAAGAGGTTTTTTTTAAACTGTGTTGGTGATGGAGATTTACCAACACATCTTGTTTGGTAAGATGTTGTCACCGTGACAGGAATTGAGGGAAATCTTATTTCAAGGGGCCTGTTCATACCATTCGCGTTGAATAGTCCCAGCTCAAAGATCAGCCAATTTGTTCCCTGTGAAGGTCATTCACACCGCTGCATTAGGGCTCATGTACACTGCAGCTGAAAAACTCACGTTTGAACGCTGGAAATTGACAGCAGGTTAAAAAAAGTCAGTTTTGACACGTTTGAATAACGCGTTTATGCGCGTATGTGTTTTAGAAGCGTTTTTTAAAGATAAGCACAGGACAACCTCCCAAATGCCCAGAATGCCCTGGAAAGTGGTAAATTATTAACTATTTCAGACTGTTTCAGAGAAATACAGAGAGTAGAAGCAGAGGCAGCAGTATGTGTTGAGATTAGCTTAGGTGTGAGTTGCTCATTAACATTTCTTTTGTTTCCAAGGGTGGGAAAGGTGCCTGGTGGTGGGAGTCATGAAGGTCACCTGGCAGGGGGTCTTCATGAGGAATTTGAGGTGTGAATGGTCATTAACATATCTTTTGTTTCCAAGGATGGGAGAGGTCTGAGGTGTGAATGGTCATTAACATTTCTTTTGTTTCCAAGGGTGGGAGAGGTCTGAGGTGTGAATTGGTCATTAACATTTCTTTTGTTTCCAAGGGTGGAAGAGGTCTGAGGTGTGAATTGGTTGATTAACATTTCTTTTGTTTCCAAGGGTGGGAGAGGTCTGAGGTGTGAGTTGGTTGATTAACATTTCTTTTGTTTCCAAGGGTGGGAAAGGTGTCTGGTGGAGGGAGTCATTAAGGCCACCTGGCAGGGGGTCTTCATGAGGAAGTTGAGGTGTGAATGTTCATTAACATATCTTTTGTTTCCAAGGGTGGGAGAGGTCTGTGGTGTGAATGGTCATTACAATGTGTGACAAGCTCAGTAGAAACATCCTGTGTTCAGTGTTTTGTACATTTCAGTACCTTGAAAACGATTTGCATGCATTTTTCATGATGAAAAAAAGGCTCTGGACAGCATCTGGAAATAGAAGAGTTAAAAAAAATGTCCAAATGCAAACGCTTATAAACGCGGTCAGCCGCGTTTACACGTGTTTGAAACTCTGATAAAATCTACTGCTGAACGCAAGTTTTCTGCGTCAAAAAAAACGACTGTAAACTCAACTACCTGTAAACAACTGTAAACGAAGATGTGTACACGGACACAAGGAGAACATTATGGAGAGTTCAGGGGTTGCTGAAAAAAACGCTGAACAGTTCCTAAACATGAGTTTATCAGCCGCAGTGTACATGAGCCCTTACAGTGTTGCGTGCTGAAAAAAAGTATGGCATGCAGTACTTTTTTTCAGCACGGAAGGGCGTAACACAAACCACTGCATCTCAACACCATTGTGGTGAACAGAACTTAATAAATTGTGACAATTCAACAAATTTCCCCTGAAAAAAGAAAAAATGTGATTATGGGGATCGGCACTGCTTCCTCCCATCGCACACTAGGGGCCATGCAATCAGCTGCTGGTGTGATCAAGTCCCGATGGAGCTGTTGATCGCAATAATAACCCGACAGGGGTTCTTCTCTGTCCAAAATTACAATAAAAATTATGGTTGGACATTTTTAAAGTGTATCTAAAGCTAAACTTTTATGTATATTTTTTTTTACTGTTTTTATTGTACAAGGACATAAAATGATGGAACATCCAACATTTTGAGTTGTTAGAACAGGAATACAGTGAAGGCAAATTCTACCAATGGAGAAACGTATTCCAGAGACAATTGTCTACGGTCATATTTCCCTTATTTTGGAGAGAATTTTATCTTACTTCCTGTTGTTGCTAAGGGATAAGAAGTGAAGAGAAATCTCCCCATTGAGACACAAAAACTGACAAGGGTTTAAACCCATCTATACTCTATACCAGGTTTTCTCAACCAGGGTTCCATGGGACCCTAGGGTTCCTCCAGAGGTTGCTAGGGGTTCCTTGAACAATGAGCAATTTCTGCCTCTTAGATAAGTTCCCACTGACACCATTGATCTTTTTAGCCATCTGTAAGAGGGAATTCTTCCCAATGACCACAAGTATGAGGAGCGTTCTTCCCAATGACCACAAGTGTGAGGAGCGTTCTTCCCAATGACCACAAGTGTGAGGAGCGTTCTTCCCAATGACCACAAGTGTGAGGAGCGTTCTTCCCAATGACCACAAGTGAGAGGAGCGTTCTTCCCAATGACCACAAGTGTGAGGAGCGTTCTTCCCAATGACCACAAGTGTGAGGAGCGTTCTTCCCAATGACCACAAGTGTGAGGAGCGTTCTTCCCAATGACCACAAGTGTGAGGAGCGTTCTTCCCAATGACCACAAGTGTGAGGAGCATTCTTCCCAATGACCACAAGTGTGAGGAGCGTTCATCCCAATGACCACAAGTGTAAGGAGCATTCTTCCCAATGACCACAAGTATGAGGAGCATTCTTCCCTATGACCACAAGTGTAAGGAGCATTCTTCCCAATGACCACAAGTGTGAGGAGCATTCTTCCCAATGACCACAAGTGTGAGGAGCATTCTTCCCAATGACCACAAGTGTAAAGGGGAATTCTTCCCAATGACCACAAGTGTGAGGAGCATTCTTCCCAATGACCACCAGTGTGAGGAGCATTCTTCCCAATGACCACAAGTGTAAAGGGAATTCTTCCCAATGACCACAAGTGTGAGGAGCATTCTTCCCAATGACCACAAGTGTGAGGAGCATTCTTCCAATGGCACAAGTGTGAGGAGCATTCTTCAATGTAGATACACAGTGTGCATTCTTTCCTTTCACACAAGTGTAAAGTTATTTTCCAGGGTTCCTATGTGTTGATGAAAGGTGAGAAAGGCATTCTTCCCAATGACCACAAGTGGAGGAGCATTCTTCCAATGACCAAATGAGGAGCATTCTTCCCATGACCCGAGCAAGTGTGAAGCATTCTTCCCAATGACCACAAGTGTGAGGGTTCAAGTGTGGGAGCATTCTATGACCACCAATGTGATAGCAACCAATGATGTATGGAGTGTTCTAAAGTATCATTATGTAAAGCAGGGGAATTCATTCAGCTCCCTGAGGAGCATTCTTCCCAATGACCACAAGTGCCCGGAGCATTCTTCCCAATGAACAAGTGTGAGGAGCATTCTTCCCAATGACCATAGTGTTTCTGACCACAAGTGTGGGAATTCTTCCTATGTGTGGGGAAAAGGTAATGTATCATGAGAGAAATTAGCAGGGCTGCTCTAAACCAACCTTCACTGAAATGAGAAAGGCTGCACTCTATACCAACCTTCACTGGACTGCGGTCCAGATCCAGACCGAGCTCAGGCTGGACATTCTGCTGTATTGGATCCTCACTAAGCTGCAGTCATTGGCTGCTGGGACCACCAATGTGATAGCAACCAATGATGTCATGTGTGTGTTCATCATTATTCATTCAGCTCCCTCCCCCTGCCTGCCCGGATCTAACGGACTCTGCTGGTCTATAGTGAGATTCTGATGGGGGAATCTGTTGTATTTGGGTACTCTGATGGGAACACATTATGTATGGGGGCACTCTAATGGGGGAATCTGATGTATGGATGAATCTGATGTATGTGGGCACTCTGATGGAGGAACCTGGTGTATGGGGGCACTCTGATGTGGACACCTTATATAAGGGGGACTCTGATGGGGACAACTGATATATGAGGGTATTCTGATTGGGTCTCCTGATTTATGGGGTTACTCTGATGGGGACTTCTTATGCAAGAGGGTGCCCTGATATTAACACCTTATGTAGGGGCTACTGTGATGGGGACACCTGATGTAAGGGGGCACTCTGATGGTGACACCTGATGTAAGAGGGCACTCTGATGGGACACCTGATATAGGGGAGTACAGTGATGGGGGCACCTGATGTAAGGGGGTACTCTGATGGGGGGCAACTGATCTAAGAAGTACTCTGATGGAGACACCTTATGTAAGGGGCTATCTGATGGGGACACCTGATGTAAGGGAGCACTCTGATGGGGAAAATTGATGTAAGGGAGCACTCTGATGGGAACAACTGATATAAGGGGGCATTCTGATGGAAACAACTGATATAAGGGGGCACTCTGATGGGGACATCTGATGTAAGGGGGCACTCTGATGGTGACACCTGATGTAAGGGGACACTTTGATGGGACACCTGATATAGGGGAGTACAGTGATGGGGGCACCTGATGTAAGGGGGGGGTACTCTGATGGGGGGCAATTAATCTTAGAAATACTCTGATGGAGACACCTTATGTAAGGGGGCACTCTGATTGGGACATCTGTTGTATGCGGGTACTCTGATGGGGGCAACTGATCTAAGGTGTACTCTGGTGGGGAGACCTTATGTATGGGGGCACTCTGATAGGGATATCTTATGTATGGGTAAATACACTGATGGAGACACCTTATGTTAGGGGCTATCTGATGGGGGGAAACCTGATGTAAGGGAGGAACCTTGATGGGGAAACCTGATGTAAAGGGGCACTCTGATGGGAACAACTGATATAAGGGGGCACTCTGATGGGAACAACTGATATAAGGGGGCACTCTGATGGGAACAACTGATATAAGGGGGCACTCTGATGGGAACAACTGATATAAGAGGGGCACTCTGATGGGTAACAACTGATATAAAGGGGGCACTCTGATGGGGACATCTGATGTAAGGAGGTACTCTTAAGGGGATACCTGATGTAAGGAGGTACTCTTACGGGGATACCTGATGTAAGGAGGTACTCATAAGGGCATACCTGATGTAAGGAGGTACTCTTATGGGGATACCAGATGTAAGGAGGTACTCTTATGGGGATACCAGATGTAAGGGGGTATACTCTTATGGGGATACCTGATGTAAGGGGGTACGCTTATGGGGATACCTGATGTAAGGAGGTACTCTCATTGGGGATACCTGATGTAAGGAGGTACTCATGGGGATACCTGATGTAAGGAGGTACTCTCATGGGGATACCTGATGTAAGGAGGTACTCTTATGGGGATACCTGATGTAAGGAGGAGGTACTCTCATACCTGGGGATACCTGATGTAAGGGGGTACTCTTATGGGGATACCTGATGTAAGGAGGTACTCTTATGGGGATACCTGATGTAAGGAGGTACTCTTATGGGGATATCTGATGTATCTTCTTTTACTTCAAATGTGATTGCAATAATAATAATAATAATAATAATCTCTCCAATAATAATTAAATAAATCATTTAGACCGATGAGCTGGCTTTGCTGTTGAATGATGTAAAATTAAGTATGAGGGGGTTTTGTCTTTAGTATATGATATGCAACCATCACCCTGGGATCAAAGAACAAAGAACACAGACTATACAATAACTTCACCACCCTTCTACCCCCCCCCCCCCCCCCACTAACACCTAAATACTGTATCAGTGATAATAAAACATATAAAGCATTTCATCTCTTCTCTTCATAAAAAATAAATTCTGCTGGACCGGATCATAACCAGACAAAGACACTGACAAGCAAGAGGGCTGCAATACTACATATGAACTAACAGAAGAGACACAGAAGGAATTATTTAGTAGACAAAAACACTAGCAAGCAGAACACAACTATGGCTACCAGGGGCGGACTGACCATTTGGAAACTCGGGCACTGCCGAGGGCCCGGGGTCAATAGGGGGCCCCATGAGATGCCCCTGGTACCTTTTTCATAGGCTTTTTTGAGTTTGGGCAAGAACACAGGGGCCCCATGATAATCTATTGCCCGGGGGCCCCATGAGTTGTCAGTCCGCCCCTGATGGCTACATGCTACTACTGGTAGAGACGCCGAACAGAGATATGACCTATGCCGTATACTCTAGAGCTGAAGGTAGACTCCTAAAATGTATCTATATCTAAAACCAACAACAAAAATGTCAGTTTACCAGTCCTTGCGGCGGCTGTATTCGTGTTCTTTTTTAGCTCCCGTTCACACCAATGCGACTTGTCACGGGACTTGCGACTTCAAAGTTGCAGCGACTCCAAAAAAAGTTCCTGCTCTACTTTTGTACGGCTTCATTTCATTATGACTTGCACTGAAAGTCGCACTGAAGTGGCAGCAAGTAGCGATGAAGTTGCACAACATAGTTGGACTTAAAATCACACAACTTCGGGGGTCGCATTGGGGTGAAATGGGGTTTAGGGTGTTATTTCCTTTATTTTCACCTGGTGAACCTGCCACTAACACAGCTCCTGTCCTAGGGGGGGCAACGCTCACTGTACTGTCTCTATGGAGGGAGCTGCGTTGTCATCCTAGGCTGCAAGTGTACAATCCAAGCGCACACGTTCCTGTGTTACAAATGGCGGTGTGTATAGGTGGGTGCTGCAGCGACCGTCGGCTGGAACCGAACAAAATCAGCGAGGGAGCATGTCACCAGCACAGCGAGGATCACCAGAGCCCCAAGGCTCTCTGTCCTCGGGCCCCTTCTCTTCTCCATCTACACCTCCTCCCTCGGCAAACTGATACACTCCCACGGCTTCAACTACCACCTCTACGCCGATGACACGCAAATATACCTCTCCACCCCTCAACTCACCCCTTCAGTCTCCGCCCGTATCACCCACCTACTGAGCGACATATCAGACTGGATGTCACTCCACTTCCTCAAATTGAACCTTTCCAAAACCGAGCTCCTAACTTTCCCCCCAGCCCGCACCCCCCCCCCCCATCCTCTCCATCACGACCAACAACGCCACCATCAGGCCCACCCCGCAAGCCAGAGTCCTAGGTGTCATCCTAGACTCTAACCTGTCCTTCCAACCCCATGTCCAATCGCTGGAAAACTCATGCAGGCTCCGCCTCCGCAACATCTCCAAAATACATTCGTTCCTAACCCCAGACACCACTAAACTACTCGTACACTCCCTTATTATCTCACGCCTGGACTACTGCAACTCCCTTCTCACCGGCCTACCCCAGCACAGGCTATCCCCGCTTCAGTCTATCCTGAACTCAGCGCCCAGACTCATGCACCTCACCAACCGCTCCACATCTGCCACCCCCCTCTGTCATTCCCTCCACTGGCTCCACCCCCCTCTGTCATTCCCTCCACTGGGCTCCACCCCCCTCTGTCATTCCCTCCACTGGCTCCCGATTGCCCAACGCATTAAATTCAAACTACTAACACTGACATACAAAGCCATTCATAACGCCGCCCCAAACTACCTCACCGACCTGATACCCAAATACCACCCAACCCGTACTCTTCGCTCCTCACAAGACCTCCTACTTTCTAGCTCCCTGGTCTCCTCCTCCCATGACCGACTCCAGGACTTCTCCAGGTCTTCCCCCATCCTCTGGAACTCACTACCCCAATCCATCAGACTGTCACCTACCCTCCTCACCTTCAGGCGCACCCTGAAAACCCACCTCTTCAGGGAAGTCTACCCCACCCTCACCTAACAGCCGATCTCCTCCACTCCTCCTACCACTCCATCCCCCACAGCCACTTCCTCCTGTACCACTATCCCCTCCCTCCTAGATTGTAAGCTCCAAGAAGCAGGGCCCTCGAACCCCTCGTGTATTGTATTGTCACTGTACTGTCTCATGTTCTGTCCCTCACTATAATGTGCAGCGCTGAGCAAACCTTTTGGCGCTATATAAATACTGTATAATAATAATAATAATAATATGGGGCCAAAGGTTTTAATGAACGATCACATAGTTACAGCAAGGCAACGTTTCGGAGTCTCGCAGGAACCCCTTCATCAGAATATAACTGGTCACATGCCTGATGAAGGGGTCCTGCGAGACTCCGAAACGTTGCCTTGCTGTTACTATGTGATCGTTCAGTAAAACCTTTGGACCCGTATTGGTGATCCTCGGTGTGCTGGTGAACCTGGAGAAGTGCTGGGACAAGACCATTTAGAACCCAAGGTGAAAAGACCAATATACCCCTCCCCCTGAATGAGCGTGAACTACTTCAGCAGCGCAGGTTGCATTTCCTGCACTCCTTCATTCTGTCTCAAGCTGACCCCACCTTGTCTGTCTAGCCCTGATCCATATGGGATTGATAATCCTTTGTATACAGAATATATACATATTGCAATGATGTCATCGCTGGTATCTCCACGTCCCTCAGGTCCCCTTTAAGTTGGCCATACATGATTCATTTTTACTTGTTCAACCAGAGGGTTGAACAAAAAATGAACCGATTCCCCCATCTACTCAATAGAGGTGGACGGAGGAATCCTTCCAGATGTTGGATTGTATTCTGATCATACGAATCCTTCCCCACAGTCAGCATACAATGATTAGTGTTGCTGGCTACAACCGGTGGCACTGATCGTTCAGGGAAAACCCGACCGGCTGGTTTATAGAAAACCCGACAAGTCGATTTATAGACTGACTTGTGTACAACCAACCTGCCCATACATGGATTGAAATTTGACTGTTCCCTGCTGAACCCGCCACATTTCAGTCCCTGTATGGCTGGCTTTATAGAGATGTTCAAACTGGCTATAGACTCAACTACTTTATAGGGATGCACCAATCCCATTTTTTGATTGGCGAGTACGAGTACCGATACTTTCGGTCAAGTATTCGACAATACCGAGTACCGATACTTTGCATGGACGCAAATTGCACTGCAAACAATAGCATGCGATTTCAACAGGAATGTGATTCCTGTCCAAATTGTATGTGATTTCTCCATTACTCCTGTGTGAACCCAGGCTTGCCATAGTCCGAGTTCACACCTCCCGGCATCGATCCCGTACTGAACAGAGTGGGAGAGAAGGGCGTGTGGAGAAGTATACTTTGGTGTCGGCCATCAGAGGATGGAGGCAACTGCTCTGGATTCTGAGAAGATTTCAAATCCATGGAAACTTCCCGGCATTGATCCCATACTGTGCAGAGAGTGGGAGAGAAGGGCGTGTGAAGATGTGGTGTCGGCCATCGGAGGATGGAGGCAACTGCTCCGAATTCTGAGCAGATTTCAAATCCCTGGAAACCTCCCGGCATCGATCCCATACTGAGCAGAGTGGGAGAGAAGGGCGTGTGAAGATGTGGTGTCGGCCATCGGAGGATGGAGGCAACTGCTCCAGATTCTGAGCAGATTTCAAATCTCTGGAAACCTCCCTACATCGATCCCATACTGAGCAGAGATTGGGAGAGAAGGGCCTGTGGAGAGGTATACTTTGGTGTCCGCCATCGGAGGATGGAGGCAACTGCTCCAGATTCTGAGCAGATTTCAAATCCCTGGAAACCTCCCAACATCGATCCCATACTGAGCAGAGATTGGGAGAGAAAGGGTGTGTGGAGATGTATACTTTGGTGTCCGCCATCGGAGGATGGAGGCAACTGCTCCAGATTCTGAGCAGATTTCAAATCCCTGGAAACCTCCCGGCATCGATCCCATACCGAGCAGAGAGTGGGAGAGAAGGGCGTGTGGAGATGTATACTTTGGTGTCGGCCATTGGAGGATGAAGGCAACTGCTCCGGATTCTGAGCAGATTTCAAATCCCTGGAAACCTCCCGGCATCGATCCCATACTGAGCAGAGATTGGGAGAGAAGGGCATGTGGAGATGTATACTTTGGTGTCGGCCATTGGAGGATGGAGGCAACTGCTCCGGATTCTGAGCAGATTTCAAATCCTTGCGGCTTTCTCTCCTCTCAGTGCAGGAATCACAGTACGTGATGGTGCTGACCATTTAAAAGCAGTCTAGGCCGTGCTGTCATCCCTGCAAGGAAGAGAAAGCCGCAAAGATTTCAAATCCCTGAGGCTTTCTATCCTCTCCTACAGCTGAGAATCCAGAGCAGCTGCCTCCATCCGGCATCGCCTGATAGCCGATGCCGGTGTATACATTCCCACACGCCCTTCTGAGCATGGGATTAGTGCAGGGAGGTTTCCCATACCACTCCTGTGTAAACTCTGGGTTTACCCCGGTACAAATCATTAGTAAGACCTCATCTGGAATATGCAGTTCAGTTTTGGGCACCAATTCACAAAAAGAACATTGGGGAACTGGAGAAAGTACAGAGAAGGGCTCAGTGTAGAGCTATTCCCCCTGAGGTCATCACAGAGGACAAGGGGGCGCTCTTTACGTCTGGAGGAAAAGAAATGTAATCCCCA